CTAGTATTTCTCCCCGTTGGGTTATGGTCTTCTATGATGTACCGTCAGATGTTCTTTCTATAGCTAAATGTGAACTCTTGGTTAAATACTGCCCACACCTTAAACTTGTTAATTCTGTGGAAAGGAACACATATCAAAATCACACCACATCCTTTTCATCTGGAAAGTCTTCAGTCCCCATAAAGCCACACAACCTTAAAGAATCACCCCGGTGCCGCACTGTATTGAAGCCTCTCTTTACAGAAGTACTCATTCACGTCATTCCTTCTTTTCATATCCCCGTGCCATTCTTTATACCTTTATTATTCCATTTTGCACCAAATGTTTGTGTAATCATCATATCCTTCTTAATCATAACCTCTTTGAGTATAAATTTTGATTTCTGGCTCATAAGAGGTGCTCAGTAAACTTCATTAAAACCAGGTATCTGCCAACATCCGTATTTGATACTAAATGTAGAAAGCTCAACAGGAAAATGCAAATATTTGAAATGATAGTTATCATAGGGATGATACTTAGTCTGAGGAAACCGATACACTAGATTAGAGCAATGCTTCTCAAACTCTAATGGGAGTAAAATCATCTATAGATCTTTTTTTTGTTTGTTTGTTTAAGTTTATTTATTTATTGGGGCGTCTGGGTGGCTCAGTCAGTTAAGCATCCAACTTTGGCTAGGTCATGATCTCACATTCTTGGGTTGGAGCCCTGCATTGGGCTCTGTGCTGACAGCTCAGAGCCCGGAGCCTGCTTTGGATTCTGTGTGTCTGTCTCTCTCTGCCCCTTTCCCACTCATGCTCTCTCTCTCTCTCTCTCTCTTTCTTAAAAGTCAATAAAAAATAAAATTTTTTTCAAGTGTATTTATTTATTTTGAGAGAGACAGACAGTGCGAGTGGTGGAGGGCAGAGAGAGGGAGAAAGAAAACCGAAGCAGGGCTTGAACCCACAAAGCCGTGAGATCATGACCTGAGCCAAAACCAAGAGCTGGACGCTTAACCAACTCAGCCACCCAGGTGCCCGCATCTAGGAATCTTATTAAGCAGGTTCTGGGGCCCAGCCCAAGATTTTGATTCAGTGGGTCTGGGGCAGGGCACGCATTTGCATTTCTTTTTTTTTCCCCCTGAAGTTTATTTATCTATTTTGAGGGAGAGAGTGTGTGCACAAGCAGGGGAAGGGGCAGAGGGAGGAGAGAGAGAATCTTAAGCAGGCTCCACGCCCAGCACAGAGACCAGTACAGGGCTTCATCTCACAAACCATAAGATCATGACCTGAGCCAAAATCAAGAGTCATGCACTTAACAGACTGAGCCATGGGCGCCCCATGCATTTTCATTTCTAACCAAATTCCAGGCGCTGCTTGTGCTGCTGGACCACGGACGGCACACTGAGTATAAACTGTTTAAAAGGTAATTCTGACATCAGAATGCCTGGACCTAAATTCCACCATCACAATTTAATAGCTTTATGGTCTCAAGATATCAACTCTAAGCCTCAAATTCCTCACCTGTAAGTGGCAAAAATAGTGGAACCCCTTCAGACTGATAGAGCTAAAATAGCCCATCTGTACAATGTGCTCTGGCAGTACCTGATGCATGGTATGTGCTCGAAACTTAGGTGTTGGTGTATTTAATGGTACAGATGAGTCAATAGATTCCTATAAACTAATAAGCGTCTTTAAACCATGGCCGGCAGGCCAGATCTGGCTCGTTGCCTGTTTTAGTAATGCTGGTAAACTAGGCATAGTTTTAAGATATTTAAATGACTAAAAAATATTCAAAAGAATACTTCAAAATGCATGCAAATTATAAATTCAAATGTCAGTGTCCATAATGTGTTATTGGAAGCTGGCCACACGCATTGGTTGGCATATTGCCTATGGATGCTTTTGTAGTCCAAAAGAAGAGTGGTCACATGACAGACCACACAGCCAGAAAAGGCTACCCTGTATACTGGCTCGTTATGTTAACTTTGCCAGCCTCTAACAGAGCACCAAGTGACTTTATCAGTGAATCACTGATCACTGAGATTAGAACCATCACTGGAGTGGCAATAATGGTCAGTGGCTTAACGTTGTTTTATACTGTGTGTGTGTGTGTGTGTGTGTGTGTGTGTGTGTGTGTGTGTATAATGTAACTGTGCCAAAGTAATGAGAGATTCTCAGGAACTAAATAATAAAAAGAAAATCAGGAAGCAAGATGAATTTGAGGGATGAGTGGCAAAATGGATTAGCATCAGAGTTCCTCAAACCAGGAAATGCTATTAGATGCCCCGACCCACTTTTTTAAAAAAAGCAATATTTATTGTCCTTTTTCTGATTATAAAAACAATACAGGATCATGGTATTTGGAAAATACAAAAATGTATACAGTATAGAAACCTGTGATATTCCCAATAGTAGAGATGATATTTAAACATGTTTCTTTTTACAAATTTGAGATGTTACTGTACAAAATGGTTATAAAATTTTAATGTAACATTTTTCCAATATCCTCATGTTCTCTGAAAACATTTTAATGGGCAATAATGTTACATTGTTTGAAAATGCCATAATTCATTTAATTATTGCCCTCTATTGGAGTTCAAGTTATTTTTAAGATTTTGTTATTATTTATAATAATAAAGTTGCTTATGAATTTTCTGAAAATCTGTGACTTTTTCTCCACTATGATAAATTATTATAATAAAATAATTTTTGTCTAAATTTGGAATGCTTCCAAGGGAAATATAAAATTAAAGAAAAGGCAAGATTATATTAACTGAATCTCTCTCTCTCGCTCCTCTGTTTTCCAGATTTCCAAACCACACTAATTTGAGGGATTTCTGCTTCATCATTAGTAACATGAAATGATTTCTATTACCTTTTACCAACTATGTTTGTTTATTTTCTATATACCCCATTCTTAAATCTATTCCACTACCATCAGGAAAACAGAGGTTTTGTTTCATTTGAAATTTCCCCTTCCCTTAGAAAAAAAGGCAATACTCTTATCAAAAATATTTTATTTACAAAAAATCAATTATACTATACATCCTATACTGGAAATACATTGAATAATTGCTACAATAAATACAGGCAATTAATTCAATCTTTTATAAGAATGAGAGAATTTGACATTTGAAAGTTATCAAAGCTTAACTTAGAACATAAATAGTTAAAAAGGCAAACTCAAGTTTTAGTTTCATTTATTGGCATGCTGTGTTTTTTCCCCACCAACTCTCCCATCAGTGAGTTTGAGTTGCAGAATGGTATGTACCTTTTGTACTCCGAAGGTAGAATGTGCAGCTTTTTCTTAAGCAGGACAGATGGAATGTAGGCATCTGCACGGAAAGGAAGCAGAATGACAGAGGCACATAGTTGAACCCTTTGCCACATTCACACTCTGCCTCATCACAACATTTTCTATGCGACGACTCATGTGTTCGATTGTGTTTAACACAGGTCTACACAGCACCAGCTACAAGGCAAGATGGGTCATGTCAAATGTCAAACTGGGTAACTGAGGCCCTTGGAGTAGCTAAATTAGCCGGGTTAGGGGTACCTGGTCCATCAATTTCTTTTATGTGCCAATTCTTGATACACTTATTAAACCTTGATATTATTTTTACTATGTAAACATACCTATGTAGGCCAATAACAAGACAGATGAAGCAATTATCTGCATAAATTCAGAAAAAAAATCCTCCCTAGAAAGTAGAAGAGGAACTTAAATGTATCAATTTTCATATCTATAGGCTTTACACTTATTAAAATGTATCCAACTCACCAGTGTAAACCTCATGGTAACATGTAAAGTGAACTGGTAAGCTGGGAAAAAAAAAAAAAAAAAAAAAAAAAAAAAAAAAAAAGACCAGCAAATTATGTTCAATATGTGGACAGTATCTGGTGAATTCAAGCCACAGAACAAAATGATGAACTGCATTGTATTTGTTTGTCCAAATAATACAGATAATTTTTTTCCACTTTCCATTGTACTCAGCCTGAGGAAACACTGCCAGAAACCCCAACGGTTATTAATCTCTGATACCCATGTTTTGTCCAGTGCTGATGCCTAGTGTTTTCTTTCAAGGACTAGCATTCCCCTTTTTTTTTTTTAATCTTATGAAAAATTGCACTTTTCTACCCCTTTGGCCTTGATTTTCTGATTTTCCTTTTATTTTGTACACCTAAGTACGTATTTCTACTTCCAAAGTGTGACAGGTATATTGGCCTTTTCTAAAAGAAATGAAAAGAAGTTAAAATATTGAAAGTTTAAATATTTTTCACAGAAAGAAACTATTCCATTTTAAAAGGTAGAGAGAGAGAGAGAAATATTTTATTCTTTCTATCATGAACAACATCAGTCAACCAAGCTTCACATTTTGGGTAGATTTTTTTTTTTTAAAGTATGAATTTTTTCAGAACCTATTTTAATAATAATAAAAAAGAACAGGTGTATTTTGGCAGAGAAGTAAAATATAGAATATGCAAAATTTGCTTTAAAAATTGGCATACAAAATTTTAAAACACAGTACAGTTATATAAAAATACAGCACAGCCAACGGCCTTTAAAATTTCCTTTGGCATTTCATTTGGTAGAGTTAAACAGAAAATCCTTTCTAAAAAAAAAAAAAAAATTAGCTATCAACACAGTCCATAAGTTAGGTTGTATACGTTGAAAGAACTTTTCCTTGAGTTTCCAAAATCCTTTTCTTCCGTGATAACCCACATAAAGCATGGCTAGTGAGGTATATAGGACAAACACTGTTAGGCGGATGTACAGTAAGGAAAAAGTGCATAAACAAAGAATGTTTCCCATTTTCATAGAAATAACAGGTTAAACTCTGAGTTTCTTCTCATTGATGTCGTTTTACTTTGGCAGAATCAAAATAAACCCATAGAAATGTCTTTGTTCAAGTCCCAGCAGCAGTGATATGTCTCCTTTGGTGGCACTATCTGATGCCACAAGAGGAACTAAGGTTTTGTGTGTGTCTGCGTGTGTGACTGCAAACGTCAAACAACGTGAGATCATACATCGAGCACCATGTCATACTGTTGTCCCTTCTTCCTCCTGCCACATTTATTGATGAGAACCACATACAGCGTCAGAAGCATGACCCAATAGCATGCATAGAGCAACGTTCCAACAATTAGAACGGTCTGTTTGGATTCTGAGAATGGCTTCTTAGATTCCTTATAAATGGTGAAAATCACACCGCCCAGGAGGATTGTAAACCAAACTGATACTGGAATGAGTCCTATGAAATTAACAACAATGGTTTTCCTTCCAGATGTGCCCCACCCAGCTTTGTTTATCGTGGCAATTGCAAACATCTTGGCAGGAAGTAAACTTGACATGTATAACACTGAGTAGAGGGACATGAAGACCATGACAATATTTCCTCTAAGGCAGCTGGCAAAGGATGACTTTATGAGACCTACTAACTGGACAGTTAACAAGAAGAGGAGGATGTTCCAAATTTTTCCCCTGTAGAAGAGCTGGATTACTGTGGCAATGAGGAAGAAAGGGAAGAATCCAGTGATAACTGCCTCATAGGTCATCCACAAGTGATGTTTATGAAACCACATCGCATTGTACAGCCACTCTCGGAAGTAGGACTTACTCCAACGGGTCTGCTGGTTTAACCATCTCAGATATTCTATAGGTGTCTCCGTAAGGCACTTGGATCGAGCTGTGTATTTTGTTGCATAGCCCAGACTCAGCACTCGGTTCGTTAGATGCCGATCGTCACCAAAACTACATTGGCTGCCCATAAATTCCTGATTGTACCAGTCTTCCACGAATTCATGCAGCAAGGAGTTTCTGTACATTCCCAGAGGCCCACTGATGCACTGGACACACCCAAAATAAGACTGGCAGGCCCTTTCTATGTTAAAAGCCATCCAGTATCTCACACTGCTGAGGAAGGAGATCCAGGAATCATACTTGTTTAAAATCTGCAAGAAGGAAAAAAAAAAAAAAAGAATAAAGGTAAGCCTTAGCTAAAATACCAACAAAATCTGTGCTGTTTTGAGGTTACTGCCTAGAGCGAAGTGTGTTATTTGATCCTCCTATGAAGCATCCTTCTTCATTTTGACACAGTTATCTTTTATTTTCTCTGATCCTATGTTACTAGATTAGTCTGATCAATTGTGTCCATGCATTGGGACTCCTTGATGAGCAATAGTTTTTCTACTTCATGACTCTGTCCTCTTTTTGCTGCTTTTTGTCCTTCTTGTTGTTATGCTATAATATTTTTAGGCTTTAGTTCTCAGATCCTAAAGTCTCCCACTCTTTCCTACCATCTATAATATTTTTAGGCTTTAGTTCTCAGATCCTAAAGTCTCCCACTCTTTCCTACCATCTAAGATTTGAAGGTTTTTAAGTCCTCTTCTCTCCTGTTCTGATTAATTTCCAACTCATTCAATTCTATTAATTTTCCTTCTCCTTCTTTCTCTCTTTTACACAATGCCAGTGATAAATTGCTTGTTCTGGCCTTTCCCCAAAACTTAAATCCTGAAATAATGCTCTATGCAAAAGCTACTGAAAATTAGCAGCTTTTTCTTGGCAATATTTCTAAATTCTTTCTTTCATCTCAGTTTTGTTCAGTTCTCATCTAGATTTTGCATGCTTCCTCTTTTATCACCAGGCTGTTTCTTTGTCTGCTCCAGGCATTGTCTTTGCCTTCAGTGTCACCATGCATGTGTAAAATGGGTTATACAGCAACGCAGAACCCAAATTGTATAGTCAAGTTTCCACGTGCTTCTCACCTTTTGCCAAAATCTGATCATGTGTTTGCAAAGCACTCATTTTTTTTTTTTTAATTTTTTTTTTTTCCAACGTTTATTTATTTTTGGGACAGAGAGAGACAGAGCATGAACGGGGGAGGGGCAGAGAGAGAGGGAGACACAGAATCGGAAACAGGCTCCAGGCTCTGAGCCATCAGCCCAGAGCCCGACGCGGGGCTCGAACTCACGAACCGCGAGATCGTGACCTGGCTGAAGTCGGACGCTTAACCGACTGCGCCACCCAGGCGCCCCACATTTTTTTTAACTTTATTTATTTGAGACAGAGACAGTGCAAGTGGGGGAGGGGCAGAGAGAGAGGGAAAGAGAGAATCCTAAGCAGGCTCCCTGCTGTCAGCACAGAGTCCGAAGTGGGGCTTATACTCATGAGACTGTGAGATCATGACCTGAGCCGAAACCAAGAATTGGACGCTTAACCGGCTGAGCCACCTAGGAGCCCCCACAAAGCACTCATTTTAATCTTCACATATTTTCACATATTCACATATATATTCATTTCCAATCCCACATATTCCAAGTAGCCTTCATTAATATTTGTTTACTTGTTCCTCCACTTATAGCAAATACTGGGAAATAAAGAGAATTAGCGGGGGGACACCTGGGTGGCTCAGTTGATTAAGCAGCTGACTCTTGATTCCGGCTTATGCTTGGAGTCTACTTAAGATTCTCCCTCTCTCTCTCCCTCTGCCCCTCCTCCCTCTCAAAAAAAAAAAAAATAGTGGGAAATAAATCATAATCAGAAAATCCACTTATTAATTAATTATTCCTTTGTCTTTCTTACCAGTATAAATTTGACTTGCTTCTTCTCTTTTCTTTCTTTGTATTCCAATTTGGATTTTTAATCAAGCATATATTGACCAGCTTTTAAATACATAGGTATAAAATATAGAATCCATCATCTGCCCTTCTTCCTTTTTTTTTTTTTTTTTTTTTTTTTTTTTTTTTTTACCTTCACAGCTAAATGAACTCTAACATCAGATTTTACCAGAACATTAAGTTATGGTTCAAGAAGATACGGTAGAAATCATTACACATTTAAATTAAATATATATCACTTATCAGCCACAGCAAACAAAGGTTACATTCCAGGGTTAAACAAAGAAATCCTAATTCTTTTTTTCAATTTAGGAAAGGAAAGAGGCAATAAAGTGGGTCAAGGCACATACTAATGTGTCTCTAGCACCAAAAGCCACATCTGGCAGAGAGTTTGGTGTGTAATAAATACGTGTTCAATGAATCAATGAGTAAGAGTATAACTAAAAGCGACTCATGCCGAAAGTGAAGGCTTACACACCTGGACATCTCCCCCGACACCTCCGACCATAGGGTCTTCTTCTAAAACTTTTACCATTTCCACAGATGACGCAGGGTCAAGCATGGTGTCTGAATCACAAACCTGTGAAGCAAAAAGTACAAAATGAGTTAAAGGAAGAAGTAGGAGTGTAGTTAATACAGTCAAAATTGGGCATATATATTATGTCTTCAGCCTTATTGTCACGGGGCCTCAATAAGCAAGTATTTATTGCAAGGGATGACCGTTTGTTATGTCACAATCGATACAAAGAGCGAGCTCAGTATTGAAGTAAATGGCATTGCTGGATAGAACAGCTGAAGTGACGTGCTAGGTAGGTCTTGTAGGCTAACCAGCTCATCTTGGTTTACCATGGATGTTCCTCATCATGGCAGTGAAAGTCTTATCTCCCAGGTGACATCCCAGTTTTCCAGGATTTAGTAGACATCTGGGTTGGTCACCATAGATGGGTGTTTTTTTTTTTGTTTTTTTTTTCCCTTTAGGCAACTTATCCCTCAGGTCTGAATGATGGTCATAAAATCCTAAGAGTGTATTGAAAGGGAGGCATGTTTAATAGCGACTTTCCTTCCTATCTTCATATGGTAACTAGAAGACAGGAAAGCCATTCTCCTCCATTCGGTCGTATAGTTCTGAAGCAAGTTGCCCATAAGAGCAGGACTTAGCAACTGACACAACATCAGAAAGGGAGGTAGCATTATCTGCAGACCACCTCTTTATCCTAAAGCATCAAGTATTCATCCAGCCCTTTGTACATAAAAGCAAATGTAAATTATCTGAAGTCATTCTAGACATGCTAATAGTTGTTCTTAAAAACAATCTTCAGGGGGGTTGCCTGGGTGGCTCAGTTGGTTAAGCAACAGACTTCAGCTCGGGTCATGATCTCACAGTTTGTGGGTTCAAGCCCCACGTTGGGCTCTGTGCTGGCAGCTCAGAGCCTGGAGCCTGCTTTGGATTCTGTGTCTCCCTCTCTCTCTGCCCCTCCCCTGCTCATGCTCTGTGTCTGTCTCTCAATAATAAATAAATGTTAAAAAAAATTAAAACAAACAAACAATCTTCAGGGGCGCCTGGGTGGTTCAGTTGGTTAAGCGTCCGTCTTCGGTTCAGGTCATGATCTCGTGGTTCCTGAGTTTGAGCCCCGCATCGGGCTCTGTGTTGACAGCTCGGAGCTCCAAGCCTGGAGCCTGCTTCAGATTCTGTGTCTCCCTCTCTCTCTCTGTTCCTCCCCTGTTCGTACTCTGTCTCTCTCTCTCTCTCTCTCTCAAAAATAAATAAAGATCAAAAAAATTTTTTAAAAAATCTTTATACGGGTCCAAAAAAGCAATTCTGAAACCAAACCAAATTATGACTTCAAGAAAGTTATTGGGATTAGTCTATATTAGTGAACCTCTGACGAACATTCCTGTTGGAGGCCCAAGGGGGCCGGGTTACAAATACTTTTCTTGCCAGCCTGATTTCTGAGCCAACTGGAAAATGAAACGGAAGAATAAGGGAGATGAGAAACCCAAATATCCCTGGTATCGTCGTAAAGCTGATACAGAGCACAGGGCTTATACCCTGTGGAATAGCAGCCTTCCTAATTACATTTTCCAGTATTAGACAGACTTATCAAGTCCAAATAGCACCTAAGTGCGGGCAGCCTCCTCTTACAGATAAAGTGCATGCCCTTCTAAAGGTCTGGCCGATGCCAGCTCCTTGGTGGCCACCCACTCCCAGAAGGAAAGGGTAAGAAGGAGCCAGCTCCCCGTCTCCTGGACTCACCAATCAGATTAAATCACTTCTCTTAGGGAGGGAGGAGTGACACAGCTGAGAAATGCTACCACCTTTCCCGCAGGTAGGCTACACCTGTGGACAGAGCTTCTTCCACATGATCAAAGAAAACCGGAAATAAGAGAAGTGCCCCCACCTCCCCATCCCTGACTAATACCAATAAGACATGGTATTCCTTTCTGGGGACTACAGCAAAGCCTAGTAGATAAAAATGGATCGGGTTGACATGTAATGAACCAGTTTCACAACCCCATCCAAACAATAAATAATTAGTAGAGACTGGAGTGTTATCAGCAATTCCATTATTTTTCCATCAAGTCTGACTCACCAGAATGGATTTAATCAATATTTAGCCTATTTATTTACACCAAAAGTAATTATCTTTACAGTTCTCCATACTACTTTATTAAAATAGTAGGGATTTCATATACCAGTTTGGAATGGAAAAAAAAATTTTAGAAAATAATTTGTAGAAGCATAAAGTCTTGAGTTAAAGGGGATTCTCTCTCTCCCCCTCTCTCCCTCTCTCTCTCTCATGAGTCCCTGACATAATTAATTAAGGAATTTCAACATTTTAAAAAATGTGTGTCTCAGTTTTACTGACAGCTATTTTTTTCTGAAAAAAGTATAAATTTTTTTTCAAAAAAATATATATTATATATTAATGAATAACGTTGGTAAAATAGCGATTTAAATGCATGATTGAAACTTATATGGGGTGCCTGGGAGGCTCAGTCGCTTAAGCGTCCGACTTTGGTTCAGGTCATGATCTCACAGTGTGTGAGTTGGAGCCCCATGTTGGGCTCTGTGCTGACAGCTCAGAGCCTGGAGCCTGCTTCTGATTCTGTCTCTCCCTCTCTCTCTGCCCCTCCCCACCTCGAGAACACGTGCATGCATGCACGCGCGCTCTCTCTCTCTCTCTCTCTCTCTCTCTCTCTCAAAAAATAAACATTAAAAAAATCGTATAAATTAAGAAGTATATAGGGTATTCAGTTATAATCTCTCTGTATTTAGTTAATCATAGTAATTTTAGGGTTAACATCTGAATTTCTTATTTTACTCTAGTTATTTAGGACCATTCATTTTCTCCATAAAACCACTTATTTTGTTTTATTTTGTTTTGTTTTGTTTTTAGTATTCTCTTTTGGTCCAGCATGATCTCACTTTATCTAGGCAAGAGCTGGGCATTAGTTTTTCAGTGTAGAAAGTAGGATTTTACTAATACTTGGGTTTGGACGAAGCCTCAGAAGCAGCCTAAACAAATTTCACCCAAAGTAACGTTTTTGCCTCTCTGAGTGCCTGGTCTACCACTGGCTTGTACATGGATGGCTGCAAGCCTGTCCCGCCTGGAATACGGGTAGAAGGGCGGGGGCAAGAGTTCGACCCACCTTTAGCTCCAGCATCCTGAGCTTATGGCCACACCCACCTCTATTGACTCAGGCTGGGAAAGGTAAAACCAGAAAGCTAAAATAAGACTAAAAACAACAGGAAGGGGCAATCTAGAATTAATGCGCAAGTCACTCCAACTGCTTGTGAGCAGGGGCGAGCCAAGGGAACCGCCCCTTTGAAATGACCTTGAACCACACTTCTGAGGCTCTGAATGTTTAAATTGGTCCTGCCCCTCCCACTTTCCAACTGCAAACAGCCAGCAGTTCTCCAAGAGAGAGACTGTTCTGGTGGGTTTAACTGTGTCGGAAGGGAAAGCTCCCAGAAATCTCCTGGGAAGGGGTTTACAGTGGCAGGATCAAAGAGCTTTAAAGAAGTTCGATTTCTGGTAGGTGCTTCAGCAGCACATAAATGAAACATGGAACACTACAGAGGAGCCGAGCATGGCCCGGAGCAAGGAGGACACGCAAGGTGAAGCATTCCATATTAAAAAGAGGAGAAAGGAAAAAAAGAGGTCCAACTTCTGGATGCTATTTGGTGACAGAATGCCAGCTAGAAAGCCATCACTTATGACAGTCAGCATGTATGTTCATCGACCTAATAGTTTGTATTTATTAGTATATCAAGAGTGTAACTTTAGTCCCTCTGAAAATCCGTAGAGTGGGAACAGGCTTTCTAGTTGTCTCCCCACCAATTAATAATAAGTATGTGATTTCATAAATGTTGGCTATTTAGCTCTAGGCTAGAAACGGTGGGGGACAAACACCAGTTGACGCAGAGCTTGACCTCACCTGGGGACAAACTACAGGCCATGATTTGCACACAGGAAACAATTAGAGAACAAATCAAAACATCTCACTGTCCACACTGAATGTCTCAACTGTAATTTGTTTAAACCACATCATCACTAGTCATAGGATTTCTCACTAGGAGTTATGGAAATGAAGCAAAGTTTTCACTAAAATGAGTGGGAAAGTGTCAAGGCAAAAAGACACATTTGGGAGGAACCAGCCACCTCAGTCTTAACCACAGAATCCAACTCAAGTGCATAAGATCATCGTCCCTCCGTCTTCATCCTTCCCCAATGCATCCTTCCCCAATGCAGTCAAGAGGGAACACCCTCCCCTTTCCTTCCTATCTAAACCAGGGTTGATGGGATGCCTCGGTGGCTCAGTTGGTTTAAGAATCCTACTTCCTACTCACACTCAAGTCACAATCTCACGACTGACTTGTGAGTTCGAGCCCTGTGTCAGGCTTGGTGCTGACAGCTGGGAGCCTGGAGCCTGTTTCAGATTCTGTGTCTCCCTCTCTTTCTGCCCTTCCTCTGCTCTCTCTGTCTCTCTCTCTCTCTCTCAAAAATAAATAAAACATTTTTAAAAACTAAAAAAATAAATAAACCAGGGGTTGACAAATTGAGGTCTTCAAGCCAAGTCTAGCCTGCCACCTGTTTTGTTAGGGCCTATGGGCTAAAAATGGCTTTTACCTTTTAAAATAATTGAAAAATTAAAAAATAATAATATTTTGTGGCACATGGAAGTTATATGAAATTCAAATCCCAGTGTCCATAAATAAAGTTGTATTGGAACTCAAGCATATTCATTTTCATGTCATCTATGGCTGTTTTCACACTAAAACAGCAAAGTTGAATAGTTGTAATAGAGACCATATGGCCTGCAAAACCTAATATTTACTATCAGACCTTTTACAAGTAGAGTTTGCCAACCGTGGGACGAAAATAATTGGTTGCAGGGGGAGGGTTCTCTTTCATAAATTTTTTTTTAAGTTGAGATTAAATACGTTCTAAGCCCAATTTTAATTCTAGTGGATTAAAAAAAAAATCCTGGGGCGCCTGGATGGCTCAGTCGGTTAAGTGTCCGACTTCGGCTCAGGTCATGATCTCGCGGCTCGTGAGTTCGAGCCCCTCGTCGGCC